CGAAAGGCGGAAAAAAAAAAAAAAAAAAACAGCAGAAATTTTTTTTCACAGACTTCACTGTGTTCATCTAAAAAATCAGGCTGTAATTGAGAAAATTAAACAAAATTGAATATGTTAAATGATAAAAGAAGCAATAACGATTAAAAACCCTACAAATGTAACTCATTATTTTCAAAATAAGCAATAAAATTGATCATATAGTGGAAAAAAAAAAAACCCAAAGTTCTTACCTGGTTTCGTGAACCCGAGCCTTCAATCTCCAAATTGCTCTGTTTTTCTCAACGATTATCACAAATTCGTAACAGAATATTTTGATGAACAACTTTACGATCAAAATGCCTACAAATATTCACAGATTCGTGCCCTATTTGGCATGAAACACAAGGAAAGGCGAAAACCCTAAAAACCCAACTTTCATGATAAAAAAAACGAAATTTCTCTATCATTTAATCCATGAAAAGGCTGAAAAAATCTGTATAAAGCCTGCATATTTAATCACATGGCAAAAAAAACAAAAAAAATGATCAAAAAATGACAAATTTTGAAGAATCCCGTGAAGAACACTGTGCAGCCGTTGTTCTTCACGGGACTCGCCAATTCCGTACAGTGAATCGGCAAGTCACTGTACAGAATCACCCGGTTCTCTCTAGAACCGGGCGATTTCGTGTTTTTTGACTGATTCGGCACGTCCAGTGCCGATTCCCGAGTCGAACCGAGCAAATCCGATTCGACTCGGCGATTTTTTAATCACTGACTGATTGTATAGAAATCTCTACCTCTCATCTATAAACCACACCAACTAATTCCTAAGAATTGTTTCTAGAAAAACATTACTAAAGATTTGTTTTCAACTACTTGTAAGAATATCATTGCTGTAGAAATACAAATGTATGATTGTCAAGTATGGAATGGTGGGTATCTAGTGCTACACGTTGAAGTCATATACAAATTTGTGACTTTTTTATTCTTTATTTTGACACGATGGTTTACAATGCTTTGAGTTTTGATTAATCTTAAGTTTATTGCTAGATCTATACACAGAGGATGAGTATTTATAAATGAATCAACTACATGAACAAGAATATTTACTAATGACTAAAGTGGGTTATTATATAAGTTATGTTGATCTCATAACTAACTTGCAATTTAATTTTATATAGGTAAATAATTTTTCTAAGAACTAAATTATGTTATCATTACTTAAATAAAGGAAATTGGCCAAACTACCAATTAAAAATGAAGCATTTAACATTTTTCCACTTGCAACTGTTCCAACTTAAAATCATGTTAATCATACAAGACTCTCTAAACCACCATAAAATTCTTCCTTTCAGGCTAATTCTAAGTGCAGTTTCCTTCCTCACCCAAACTAAGAAGATTTTTGAAATGTTCTTCATCACAATGGCTTACTTTTCAAGCATATTTACTAATAGTGAATTACTTGGTAACAACATACAATAGAGTACAAACAAGCTAAAAATATAAAAGTTTTACGTTTTTGAATAACTCAATTGAATTTATGTGCAAATTGAGTTGAGGCCTAGTTTAAGTTTTAGAATAAACTTATAATTTATATAACATGCATGTTTTATATTTTTCCAATACCTAATCATTACCAATTATGATATAGTTTACTTAAATATTGCTTTATGAAAAAGTAAAATCGTATATCTCTTTTATAATTTTTAATCATATAAGAATTGCTAATTCACCACTTGCTCCTTCCTATATCTACATGGTTGATTTCCTTCCTCATCAGAAATACAAAGAATATCATGATTAACTTTTTCCTTACATAGACTCTTCAATAATCATAACCAACAAATACAACATTTATTAATTTTACTTCATGTATAACCTTAGAGAAAAATATTTATGAATTAATCGAAATATAAATAACAATATTTATTAATTGCCTGAGTAGCCTAATATGTAACTTGAGCTGAGAACTATTTTATGTTCTACAACATCATTTTAATTACTACAAAACATGTATGCTACCTTTTGGGGAAATTTGTAAAATGACATGAGATGAGAAATTAAAAATTTTATTACTTATTTTATTCACTTTCATAATCCCATCAAAATACACATTATCATGAGTTGGAATGGTTGAAAACATGTAAGGTATTACATAGTTGATAAGTTTGGTTTATCATTGATAAATTTTCTTTTTTTTTTTTTAGAAAAGGGCCCTTCTGATAGGACTTAAATATTCACTATATGCACCATATGCATGTCCAAGACGTGTTGATTACTTCTTCCCCAATAACTATTTTTACCTAAATATTGCTTCCTTCCAAAATAAACATGGTAACCGTCGGTTTCTTATATTCTTATAAATTGTATTTTGCAAGTCTCACTGCTCCATGACAGTCTTCTTCATTTTATGTAAAGTTCGAACTAAGGTATCCTTATTGTTGGTTTCCTACTATCTCTTCATCCATGACTTCTCATCTTCTCTCCATGAAAGATCTTCTCGAGAAATATTGAGACCTCTCTTGCAGGTAACAAACAAGATCTGAAGCCTCAAAAAGCTTTTAGCACAATTTTAGAAAGTTTGAAATATTGAGAACTCTCTTTCTTATTTCACTTTTTGAATTGATCTCTTTTTTTATGTTCTATGTTTTTTTTATGCTTTTAGTTTGAATCATTTTGAGACTTTTTTATTGTTATCTAATATAGAATAATTTGAATGTTCTCTTTTTTATTGTTGAAAATTCTTTTGAGATCATATACATACTTTGTCAAAGGTAAAATCATATAATTGTCTGTAGTTATCATAATCATGTAAATGTCTTTAGTTATCCGAAATATTTATTATATTTGGCCACTTATTTCATTCTTAAACATCAACAACTTACCTTTAATTATTAGAAAACATGTATGTTATTTTTCAGGGAAAATTTTCAAAATGCACAAAAGAGATGAGCTATTTAAAATTTTACTATTTATTTTTATTAGGTTTCAAAATCCCATGAAACTGATCATGATTGGAGTAGTTGAAAATGCCTAAAATGTTAAATAGTTGATAAGTTTGGCATGTCATTGATATATTTCCATATTCTTTTAGAAGAATAACCCCTTTAATATCTTGTAAATATTTACAATATGCATGTCAAGCACATGCTTGATTACTTCTACCTCGAAGATTAGTTTTGTTAAAATATTGCTTCCTTTCATAAATAAACAGAGTAACCGTCCATTTGTTATGTTCTTATAGATTGCATCGAGCAGGACTCACTGCTCCATCATCAATTTTTTTTCCTTACGTGTAAAGTTCGAACTAAAGCATCTCTATTGTTGGTTTCCTATCATGCCTTACCCCATGACTTATAATGTTCTTCCATGAAAACACTGTTCAAAAAACATTGAGACCTCTCTTGCCGGTAATAAACAAAATCTGAAAGCCCAAAAATATTTTAATACAATTTTAAAAAATTTGAAACATTTGATATTGATCCTTATAATTTATATGAATTTTTTATTTGACTTTTTGAATTGATCTTTTTATTTCATGTTTTATATTTTCTTTGTACTTTTATTTTGAATTATTTTGAGACTTTTTATTGTTGTCTAATATGGACTAATTTGAACCTTCTCTTCTTGATTGTGGCAAATCTAACTAGTACTGCAATGCAAACTTTTTTTAGATTGGATATAAAATTTTCAAAGGTAATATTATATAAATATTTGTAGTTATAAAAAATATTTATAATATTTGACCAACTTATTTCATTTAAGATAAACATTTTTTTTTAGATTGGATATATACTTTTCAAAGGTAATATCAAATAAATTTGGGTAGTTATCATAAATATCTATAGCATTTGACCAACTTATTTTATTTAAGATAAACATCTACAACTTATCTTTAATTGCTACAAAACATATATGCCATTTTTTGTGGAAATTTATCAAAATCGATATAAGAGATGAGCTATTTAAAATTTTACTATTTATCTTTATTGAATTTCAAAATCCTGTCAAACATGATCATGAGTTGGAATTGTTGAAAATATGTAAAATGTTAAATTTTTATTTATTTGGTGTATCATTTATAATTTTTTATTTTTTTGGAACAAAATAACCCTTCTAATATCTTTCAATATTCGCTATATGCATGTCAAACACATGCCTGATTACTTCTTCACCAATAACTATTTTTCTTAATTATTGCTTCCTTCCAAAATAAACATGGTAACCGTTTGTTTCTTATTTTCTTATAAATTGTATCTTACTAAACTCACTACACCATCACAGTGTTATTCTTTATGTGCAAAGTTCAAACTAAAGCATCCTCATTATTGGTTTCTTACAATCCCTTACGTAGGTTTTGGTTAAGTCAGACACCTAGTATAAGCCAGTTCACTTGACATCGGTTGATTTTAATATTATAATAATATTTTAAAAATAAATTTACAGGAACTGAAAAAGTGACCAAACAAGAAAGGTCCCCCCCTCAAAGTAAAATACATAGTGTTAAGGCAAAAGCTTCGAAGTGATATGCGATTTTTGAGGCCATCCAAAAGCTTATCCATTTAAGGGAAATCATTAAAGTGGGCAGCAAGAAGCAAAGATATAGCAGGATCATTGGATAAGATGCCTTCAAGGCACTATCGAAACCCTTCCCGTAGGGCAAGGTATGTCTCTATCTTTCTTTGTATTTACATGGGATTTTATACTATAAGACCATTTTCTTTTGATGTAAGAAGATCACAGTTACATATAGATGTCAGATGAAAAATCTGGAGATCTGGGGTGTGTCACAAAGTTTTAAAATCTTTTCTCTAAATTTTGACCTGCTCAATGGGATCAATGTTAGAAAGATCGACTCATGCCGGTTGCTCAGCCTGGTGTGTGTCACAAGGTTTTAAATCTTTTCTCTAAATTTTGACCCACTCATTGGGATCAATGTTAGAAAGATCAACTCAGGCCGGTTGCTCAGTCTATGCTCGAGCAAGTACTCAGCTCGAGTCCGAGTAACTTTGCCCTAGTTGGATCAAGTTCTAGACTAGACCAAAAAGTGTTCAAGAATAAAATAAAAAAATCCAAAAAAGGAAAATATTTTTAAAGTAAAATTATACAAAATGCAACTAAATAAGATTAAATAGTAGTGAAAAATCAATTTTTTATGGCCATTTGGCCATAAAAAAATAAAATAAAATTTAAAATTTTAAAAAATAAAAACATGAAAAAATAACTTTAAAAAGTTAAAACAAGTTGAAATAGAAAACAATAGATTAAAAAAAAAAAAACCAACTAACTTACAATT